TGAGTGACGTAAATTGGCAACGAGCATCAAAACCCGCGTATCCATACAAAAAAAGGGCGTTTGCGATATGCACGCTTACAACAAAAAATAGTAAGTATATATAAATGCTTTAATATGATATAGTTACAAAAAATAGTAAGTATATATAATGGGATATGCATGCTTTATTATATGTCTTAATGTGCAACATCTCTTCCGGACCATGTTTTGTGGAAGGTTTCCCATGTGGGAAGAGATGGAGTCGTTCAGGAAGAAGTTCAACAAGTATTTGAATAATGTGTAAGTACAACATTAGTTCTGTCATAAACTCAGAAGTGTATAATATATTTATGCTTTTATCTATATTTCAGGAGAGTCTATCCCAGACTATAACTGCAGCTGAGGACGATGATTGCAGGAGCATACTGAGTCGAGTGTTAAATATTCCTGAGTATTCTGGGCGTGTGAGGGGTAAGGGATTTGGTGTTACTCCAACAAAATTGTATAAGCAGGCAAAGAATAAAAATCCTAGCAATAAACAAGTGATGGAGACGTTGGAGAAATTGAGAGCTCAGATTCGTGAATTACAAAAGGACAAATAGAGATACATGTCAGAAAGGCGCGGTCCAGATTGTAAAGATACTAGTGCCAAAGATAGTATCAATTGTAATTTTCCGCAGAAGCTTCCAGAGGTAATTATATATATTATATTGAAATTAATTTAGCACAATTTTCTTAATTGACACATTAATCATATTCATTATTTGTTTAGGGCATTTCACCTTGTCGGCTATATTTATCGTCACCGACTTATCGCATGGTTGGCAGGGGAAAAGTGCATAACACTTTTGGAGACTTACTTCACCATAAACCGCTCCCTGCTGAATTTTTGAAAGTATCGGTTGATATTGCTTTAGAGCGGGGGTGCGTTGTTGCCTATACCAGATGATGTTTCGGATGCCACAGTGGTGGGAGACGCAATAGGATCGTATGTTGCATGGCCGTCAAATCTCATTTTCATAGATGATGAGGTAGGTTGAACACCATTATGAACCTTGTAGTACTCAAATGTTTTACAACCCATACATGAAAGTTATTCTTACATTTAAATTTACTTATTTACATGATGATCTTAGACTACTACAGTTACATGATGATCTTATACATTAATTACTTAACTTATATGACTTTTAGGTTCATGCTCAACAGTTGCAATAAGTCAGCAAGGGTAAGATGCCGGAATCTAGCAAGCTGCCCAACAAAAAAAAGGTCGAGCCAAAAAAAGCATTTGTTCCTCGATTTAGGTTGTGCCTTGAAACATATGTAGGAATAACAGATGTGGTTGAGGGTGGCATCCGTCAAATATCTATGGAAGAAGGTATTTTTGATTTTGAATATGCCGAAACAATTGCTAAAGAGGATTTGGACCAGATTTTCCAACATTCTGAATTGGACATCGGTGTTATGTATTCCTACATCAGGTACTTCGATCAATTTTAATTAAATAATTGAACAATTTATTTGCTCATTTAAATGAATATTCTAATGTTGATTATGTTTTTATTTAAGGTTCTTGTATGACAAGTTGTTGGTCCCGCATCAATTGCCTTCAAGATTCACGTTCTTATCTGCTAGCTGTATCAAGTCACGGTCAATTGATCACACTCCAGATGTAGTCAAAGATTACATAGTCCAAGTATTTATGGCCGCAGATACAGAGAAGTTGTATTTTTTGCCATATAATATTGGCTATGGGTTATATTTCATTCTAAATTCATTTATTATAATTATTCGTTTTTTGCCATTCTATATAACATTTCTGTCTAAACTTTTGTCTTACTTTACAAAGGACACTGATTGTTGGTTGCGATTAATCCGATGAAAGAAATAGTGTATTCTCTGGATTCATTGGATGGTGATCAAACAAAATATCATGATATGAAGAATATGGTTGATACGTAAGTGATGAGATATATTGTTCTGAATAATTTATCTTTATTTATTATGTGAGATTGTTCTAAATATTCGTTTATATTATGTTAGAGCTGTACAAATATTCCGATCACAAAGAGAAGCAAAAGTGTCAAAAAAGAAGGCTAACAACATTAGCTGGATCAGAGTGCAGGTATATTTTAACAATTTTGACTGTTATAGTGATTCTACTTGATAAAACTAGTTAAGCTATATATCCTGATAAATATTCGTTTGTTTTTTCTATTTACAGTGTCCTATAGCAGTGCAAAGCGATGACTTTTCCTTTAACAGTGCCACTTTAGGCAGCACTTTTAAACGCTGCTAAACGCAAAAAAAAACGCTGTTAAAAGTCTTTTTTAACATAGTGCAATAAAAAAAGTTTAATTTGATTTTTAGATTTATTCATCGTTAAATCTAAAACAAAATCGATGAATACGTCAATTTGATTCAATGGAATCAAAATATATTAATAAAAAGTCAATTTTGTAAATATTATAAATTTTTATATTATTAAAATAAGTAGATAAATTACAATAAAAAAGTAGAACTACATTTTTCTTTAAATATAAAATCTCAAGTTTTTTTATCACAATAAACTTTTTAAAATTGTTATAACTTTTAAAAATAAGTCATATATTAAACGAAGGAGGAGGTAGTACTACAAAATATTTTAATAAAACATGTTAAGAATATGACTATATAATATAAATCTAGCATGATCAATGACATGAAAATGATATATAATTTAATAAAAAAACATGTTTGGTTTTTAAGCGGAACATAATTTTTTTTAAGTATTAGTTTAAATTCATTTGACAAATTCTGTACAATCTTAATTTACTTTTTACATTTTTTTTTACAATAATCCTTACATCCTTAATCGTGTATAAGTACTTTTTTTTGAAGAAAAAGTATTGAAAGTGTTCAACATTATCCATGATTTGTGTGAGTTGTTGGACCATATTAATGTTTCTTCACTTTCATCTATGTACCATTTTCATTTCTCAACCATGTTTAGTTATTTTGAGTTAATTAATGATGGATGTTATGGAATAAAAGGCATGATTGATGATTAATCAGCCATGAGATTAAACATACAAGTCAACGTGCACAAAGCTAAAACCACATTTTAAGTGATTATTAGAAATAATCAAATAAATAACCCGTGGTGCTTATCACATCCTTTGCTTACTTTTGGGGCAACTTGCTTGACTTTTATTTATCCGGTGGTTGAGCCCAACAACCCGTGATTGGTAACCGGCTATCCCCGGTCAAAAAACATGATTCTGTTTTCTTTGCATTTTTCAAGTCATAAATTTTAGGATCATAAACCTACAACAAGGCCACAGTTTAGGTTATGTGAATGTGAGAGATGATCTATGGTGCGTTGCCAGCTAAGAAAGATGGGTGAAAGCTTTTACATAAGGGTCAAGGTTGTTGTCAATACCTCACGGTCTTTTTCATGCCTCAAGGCTTTTTTAAATAAATAATTAAAAAAACATATTCTAAGAATCTAAATTCACTTATGGTAAATGCTAATTTGTTTTTTGCTTTTATTGTTGTTGTTGAGAAAATCAATCTCAATTACTATTTGTAATTTTTTATAAGGTCACTTGTAAACAAGTACATAAAAGTTCTTTTTTAATTAGCATAACTTCACCACCTATGTATTGATCTGTACAATGTAAAGGATAAGGTAAAATCTATTTTACAAGTACAATGCCTCTACATTTATATATAATAATAAATAACACCCTATGGGATTTTTATTATGTGTCAATCGATAAAAAATGTATTCAATTATTATCATGTTATGACATTAATATGCTATTTTGTCTATTATATTTCTATTTTTATTTTTAAAATTTTAAGTTTATCTTACCGATACAATTGATAATTTTTTTTTAAAGTTCTTTATAATTTTTTTCATATATTAATAACTATATTCTTTTAATATTTAAAAAATAATAAAATAATTTATAATAAAAAATAGAGAAGATAATACTTATTATTTTTGAAAAACTGATATTGTATATCTAATAGAATTTTCATTAAAGAGTATAATTATTATGCATTTGACAGTTTAAAAATATTTTACATTATCATTCAAATAAAAATATATTATTATGTTATGTTATATAATTAATTTAAAATTTTTAGTATAATTTAGCGGGATATATAATCGTTATTGGTTGATAATATAAAATTATTTTACATTACCGATGTATATCAATTAAATTTATGATAAAAAGAAAATTTTGATGCTCAGTGTTTATCATTATTTTTTATTTTTGTTCTTATTTATTAATTTTAATTTTTTTTATATTAATGATTTGATTCACATGATAAGGATCTTACTCATACTCTAAAAAGTCAATTAAAACTATATTGATAAAATTAATACAGTTATTAATTTTATTAATTATAGTGATGTTTTTAGAGAATTTTTATGTATTAAAGATTTTCATTTCACCAATCTTTTCTCTAGAATACTATTTTAATGTATGATTGAGAAAATTCAATTAATTTTAAGTATATTAAAATGACTAGTGAATATCATCTCTGTTTTAAATAAGATTAATTTAAAAATTTATATAAATTAAAAAATATATACATATTTAATTTGGTATGAGTAAAATATTATTAATTATTTTAATTTAATATTTATGAGAGAAATAATTGAGTTTTTACAAAATAATAAATACTAAATAGTATAAAAATAATATAAAATAACTTATAAATTAAGAGAGCTATATTTAATTAAAAGGACATCGTATAATTTACTATATGAGTTATATAGAAAAGGAAAAATAAAAATAAAATTGGAAGAAGTGTATTAGTTTATTTTATCTTATGAAATAAGCCAATAATATAAAATCCATTATTTGTGACTAATTAGCCCCTCCCTTATGATATTTTCTCTCTGAAACCCGAACCCCCTATATATTTCCTTCCTTTTATTTCTACAGAAGAGATATCAAGTACCCGCTTTACGGGTGAGAGAAGAAAAACACACAGTGCTGTTTTCATTCTTCACCCTCATCACCATGGCCATCACCACTCCCTGTCTCAATGCTACAGAAAAGAAACACTGGTGGCTCACAAATCGCAAGGTAAACATTCCAAAACCCCTTATCCTCATGAATATCTTGTCTTTATGAGTTTCATTTTCCTTAATGTTTTTTTTTTTTTTTAGATTGTTGAGAAATACATCAAAGACGCACGAACCCTCATTGCGACACAAGAGCGCAGCGAGATTGTGTCAGCCCTGACTCTACTTGACGCGGCTCTTACTATATCTCCATCCTCAGATCAAGCTCTTGAGCTCAAAGCGAGATCTTTGCTCTATTTGAGAAGATTCAAAGATGTAGCAAATATGCTTCAGGATTACATTCCGAGTCTCAAAATGGCTAACGATGATTCTGGCTCTGTTTCTTCTGATGGCTCTTCTCAACAGCTTTCAAGAGAAGGCGTCAAGTTGTTATCTTCATCGGATTCCTCTGATCCAGATCAGAGTTTCTTCAAGTGCTTCTCTGTCTCTGATTTGAAAAAGCGAGTCATGGCTGGTCTCTGCAAAAGTTCTGATAATGAAGGATATTGGAGGTAATAAAAAAATTAATGTCATTATTTAGTTTCCTTGAGTTTTTCAATTTTTTTTACTGTCTCCTGAACTTTAAAATTAAAATAGCTTCTTTTATTTTTACAGAGTTTGGATTTTCTATTTAATGAATTTTGAGATTAGATCAGAGTCCCCAATATCATGGGGTTTGAGTTAATGCTTCTGCCAGCTATTAATGAAATGAAACTTTTAAAAATACCTATCAAATTCAATGCACATTGAAAGGTATAACAAGGAAGACCAATAAATATTTAATGTAATATTAATACTTTGCGTAATTTGGTTCACGTATTTCAACTGTTTTGGTTTGGTAGCAGGTTTCTTCTATTTTTTAATGCACACTGGCCATTATTTATTTTTTTAAAATAATTTCGTAAATTCTAAGATAATTAATTGATTCATTTTCTATATGTGAATTTTCAGATACTTGGTTTTGGGGAAAGCTTGTTGCCATTTAGGTCTAATGGAAGATGCAATGGTTCTTCTTCAAACCGGAAAACGCCTCGCCAGTGACGCATTCCGCCGCGAGAGTGTGTGTTGGTCCGACGACAGTTTTTCTCTATGGAACACACCGTTTTCCGGTGATGCTATTTCGATGCCCATCGCAACCACTCCACCTCGAAGCCCTCTATCAGAATCTGAAACCGTGAACCAACTCATCGCACACATAAAGTTCCTCCTCCGTCGTCGCGCTGCCGCAATCGCTGCCATGGACGCTGGACTCCATACGGAAGCAATCCGTCACTTCTCAAAAATCGTCGACGGCCGCCGTGGTGCTCCACAAGGATTCCTCGCCGAATGCTACATGCACAGAGCCACTGCGTTTCGTTCGGCAGGTAGAATCGCTGATTCGATCGCGGACTGTAACAGAACACTATCACTGGATCCTACATGTATTCAAGCACTCGAAGCTAGAGCCTCAATTCTAGAAACCATTCGTTCCTATCAAGATTGTCTTCACGATCTCGAACACTTGAAGCTTCTATACAACACAATTCTACGTGATCGGAAACTCGCCGGTCCATTATGGAAACGTCACAATGTCCGTTACAATGAAATTCCAGGGAAATTATGCACACTAGCAGCGAAAATTCAACAGCTGAAACAGAAAATGGCATCCGGTGAAACGCATAATGTGGATTACTATGCTTTAATCGGTCTGCGACGCGGTTGTGGTCGCTCGGAGTTGCAACGGGCTCATCTTTTGCTTTGTTTGAAGCATAAACCAGAGAAAGCCACTTGTTTCATCGAACGGTGTGAACTCGCTGATGAACATGATCTTGAATCAGTTAAAGATAGAACTAGAATGGCTTCTATGTTGTTGTATAGATTGCTTCAGAAAGGTTATTCAAGTGTTATGAATTCCATTGTAGAAGATGAAACTGCAGAGAAAGAGAAACAGAAGAAAATGGCTTTTCAGTTGCAACAAACTTCTTCAAATGCAAATCCAAATGTTAATGCAAATGTAAAGGCAAATGTAAATGTTAATGCAAATGTACATTCAGTTGAAGTGTTTGAAGAGAAAAGTAGAGCTGAAAAAATGGAGGAAAAGTTTGCGATGTCTTCGCCAAGCATTGCAAATCCAACGGTGTTTCAAGGAGTGTTTTGCCGTGATCTAACGGTGGTAGGGAACTTGCTTTCTCAAAGGTTTAGTAGTAGGTCAATTCCGGTCAAATACGAGGCTCTTAGTTGTTGAATTCATTGATTGATTGGGGACTTGGGATGTTTTGTTTTTTACCGGCTGAAAATATCTCTGATTCTGATTATTGGTTAATTGTATGTACAAATGGATAAATTAAATTTTGAAAAAAAGCCGGGAGAAAATTATTTAATTTTCGTTTATAAATTACAATATGTTTTTTTTATTTTTGTCCGTTAGGTGTATAGGATATCCTATTCTCGTAGTCTACTATCGGAATTTGGAATTTGGAATTTATCACCCTTAAAATAAAAGTAGTAGCACGTTATAAATGCTACTTATGTTAATGTTAATATTTGAATTTATAGGATATTGAATGATATGGTGTTGATGGGTAACTCGGTATTTGGGTTACCCTTAGTTTTGTAGAACTTTTTCTTTGGCAAAGGAAAAATTATTTGTTTTGTACAATTGATATAGATAAGGGTTCACTGCTGCAGCAGTGACCCATGGGAGAAACAGTAGGTGCATGCCTTGGCTTTTTCCCGTGTTTTTGTCTGCTTGCATTCAATTTTTCTGTGGCTAGTCTATCGAAGAAACTGAAGTTCTGACATTCCCATTAGATTTTCTTCATTTTCTTGCGTAAAAACTTTGTTGCTTCCAAGTATATGGTGGAAGCTGGTGGCTTGTAGGGTAAGAGTGTCCAATAGCTTTTTCTTAGACTGTTAAACTCGGATACAATTTGGGTACGGGTGGGTGTCACTTAATAAATGTGAAAGTTTTTTTGAAATAAAAGATAGTATGATTTTGTATAGACATCTTAATAAATTTAATATACAAAGTTATGTAGATATTGAAAAAGGATTAGACATTCTACCATGCTACGGTGTCGCATTATGGAGCTGGGCTTTTTCGCTACTCTCACATTTATTGGTTTGAACTGCGTTGCTCTTACGCATCCCAAAGTGTGCTGCCCTTCTTAACATGAAATACTAAGTAATTCAATCCAACCCACAATAATCCTCATTCGAAAGTATTTGCTTATGTATTAGACATGTTTCTTCCGACCCTAACTATTTCTCTTTCATTGTTTTTTACTTTTCTTTTATTAGTTTATTTGTCCTCAACTTCGTGATTAAACTCTCCTTGTAAATCTAAAATATATATATTAATCATTAATCGTCAATGAATGACTTTAATTTAGTAAGTATCATAATGTTGTATAAGTTTAATGCAATTAATACCACTTATTAGTACTATAAAGCTACTGTGGTAATGAAATAGGAGTACAATAGAAAAATACTCCACTTTATGATTGAACTCTCCTTAAATCTAAAAAAATATTCCTTTCAGACCCAAATTATACGTTTTGAGAATTTCATACAAATTAAAAAAATATAATTATTATTTAATGAAAAAGATAAATTATGTATGACTTTATAGTAATAGTAAGACCTCTTGTTATTACACATGAAAGAGAAATTAAAAGAATTAAATAAATAAATAATAATAAATATTTAAGAGTATATTAGAGAAAATATCATTAATATTGCATTAAAAATATAAGATGTCTTATAATTTAAGACAAAGAGAGTATATTATTAATTATTAATCATTAATGAATCACTTTAATTTAGTAAGTATCAAAATGTTGTATACATGTTGTATAAGTTTGATGCAATTAATACCACTTATTACTATAAAGCTATTGTAGTAATGAAATACAATAGAAAAATACTCCACCCGAACCACTATGGGTAAAGAAAACTTAAATTTTGATCCTTATTATAAGCAAAATACATTAATGTTTAAACTAATTAATATTTCTATTACTATTATATCTTTGATTTAATTCAAAAGCATTTAATATTAATAGTTGATTCATCAAATATAATTAAGAATATTATAATAAAATTTATTTTTATTGTGCATAAAATCAAAAAAATTATACATAACTATCTTAATCAATATGAAAATAGTTATTTTTATTTATAATTGTGGTTGAAGGGAGTACCATTATACTCAATAGAGCTCTTCTATATTTACACTGTTTTATTACACTATATGCATTTTAAACCGTATACATACACTTGTTTTGGTGCTGCACGAAAATCAAAATGAAAAAATAAATTATTAAAAAAATGAGGAGTATATTTGTTATATAAATTACAGCGTAAGTGTACAAATCAATGTCAAATAAGCATTTTTCTACATTGCAACAAATGTCCACCATTTTTCGCACCATTGCTTCATCTTTTTTTCCCAAACATTACTTGCTATACATCTTTTCATTGATACTTTTCACTACGAATAATCACAATTTATTCAACCCACAATCCTAAGATTCGACGGTTCATGGAAAATTTACTTCGATCAAAATAGCATTGGATATTGGTTGAGAATGAACCATAGTTGCACCTCCAGAGGCAACTCTATAACAAATGAAGGCTACAGAGAAAAGCAAATTGAATGATTTGAACGCCAACAGTTATTTGTTCTAGTCCATTGATTGTTCGATCATGGAAACTATTCTTGTGTGCAACACAATTAAAGATATTTCTAATGTTATGCGTCACAATTTTCATGACTCTTTAAAGGTTAAACGAGCACACTTGCAGTTTCTACGTCAAGAGTTTGTTGGTGCAAAGATAGAATAAATGATGAAAATATGGAAATATTCTATTAAAGAGAATGACGGCAGAAGAAACAGGATTAAGAGTTACAATGATTGTCACCCTATTTATAAGTTAAAACTAGGGTTACTAGAATAAGATAAAATACTAAAATACCCTCTAACAAACTTATGGGCTTAAGAAAGTAATATAATAAAATATGAATTATTACTAATACCATCCCTTAATTCATATTCCATCAAAACTTGTAACACCAATTTCATCCCTTAATCTGAGAAATTGATCAGTCTTGATAGCTTTCGTCAGAACATCTGCCAACTGCTTCTGAGTGCTGCAGTGTACAACTTCTAACACTCCACTCTGAACTTGATGTCTCAGAAAATGATACTTGGTCTCAATATGCTTGCTTCTCCCATGCAACACTGGGTTTCTGGCAAGATTGATTGCAGACTTGTTGTCAATCATCAGCTTCAGAGGTTTGTTTACTTTAATCTTCAGATCCTGCAACAGATTCAGAATCCACACAGCTTGGCATGCAGTAACAGCACCTGCAATGTATTCAGCTTCACAGGTTGATAACGCCACAACAGGTTGCTTCTTGGAACACCAAGAAATAGGACCTCCCAGAAATTTGAACAAGTACCCATATGTACTTCTTCTGTCAACTCTGTCTCCACGCCAATCAGAGTCTGAATAACTCAGAAGTTCTGACTCATTATTTCCTCCAGAGGGAAATAACACTCCATACTTCAGAGTTCCTTTGATATACCTCAGAATCCTGACAACAGCTTGATAATGGGACCACTTAGGTTTACTCATGAACCTACTAACCATCCCAACTGAGTAGCAAATATCAGGTCTGGTATTGCACAGATACCTCAGAGAACCAACCAACTGTTTGAAAGTTGTAGCGTCCACATCCTTTCCTTCAGAGTCTGAATCCAGTTTCTGATTTGTATCAGAAGGTGTGACAGCCATCTTACAATTCTTCAGATCAAATCTCTTCAGAAGTTCTAATTCATACTTGAGCTGATGCAAAATGATACCTTTCTCAGAATATCTGAACTCCATCCCTAGAAAGTATGTCATTTTGCCTAGATCAGTCATTTCAAATTCATTCATTAGAACCTCTTGAACTTGGCTATCTCCTGTTCAGAACTTCCAGTCAATAGTATATCATCAACATATAAACATACCAGAGTCATATTGCCTTCAGAAGTATGCTGAACATAGACACCGTACTCCATCTCACATTTCTGAAAGCCTTGCTTCTTGAAAAATGAATCAATCTTCTGATTCCAAGCTCTGGGCGCTTGTTTCAATCCATATAGAGCTTTGTATAATCTGTACACCATCCCTTCCTGATTCTTTTTCACAAATCCAGGAGGTTGTGACACGTAAACTTCTTCTTCTAATGGACCATTCAGAAATGCAGATTTTACATCTAAATGCATCAGAGGCCAATTCCTGTTAGCAGCTATTGCAATCACCATTCTGATTGTTTCATGTCTTGCTACAGGTGCAAACACTTCAGAATAATCCAGCCCAGGTTTCTGTAGAAATCCTCTGGCTACCAACCTTGCTTTATGTTTGCCAATTGAGCCATCTGGCTTTAACTTCTGCTTGAAAACCCATCTGACGCTGATGGCTTTCTTGTCTTTTGGAAGTTCTGTCAGCTTCCAAGTCTTGTTTCTCTCTATAGCATCAAGTTCTTCTTTCATGGCCTTCAGCCAGAGCTTCTGCTTAAGAGCCTCCTCTGTACTTATAGGTTCAGAGTCTACTAACATGGCACACTGAATAACTTCTCCTTCAGAGTCTACTTCAGTGTCTTGCAGCATGTCAAATTCTGCAAATCTTCTGGGAACGCTTCTGATTCTTTGTGGTCTCTGAACTTGTTCAGAGTCTTGAGCTTCAGAGTTTCTAGCTTCAGATGATTGACCTCCAGAGCTTTGACCATCTTCAGAGTCTGGCATATTTCCAGAGTCTGAATTGCCACCAAGATCTGGATTGCCATCAGAGTCTGAATCATTAGAGTCTGGGTCATCTGGGTCACCTTCATCTTCTGAGTCTTCTTCAGAGTTTGAATCAGTATCAGAGTCAGAGTCAATATCAGGGTTTACTTCAACTTCAGAAATTCATAACTTTGACCTTTCTTCAGAGGTTCTAACATCAGAATCAGATTGAGACTTATCCCAATTCCAAACTTCTGATTCCTTCACAATCACATCTCTGCTGAATTCAATTTTATTGGTTTCTGGACAATAGAGCTTGTATGCACCTGTACTGTGGTACCCTATCAGAATCATCACTTTGCTTCTATCATCCAGCTTCTGTCTTCTGGCTTCTGGAACATGTTTATAGCAAACAGAACCAAACACCTTCAGATGACTAACACTTTGCTTGTCTCCAGTCCACTTCTGCATA